GTAAATAATTATGTCTGATATTAGAAATCAACAATCGCTTCTTGAATTAAATCTTCTAGCCGATGAAATGCGTAAAAATTTGTAGATGTTATGAAAGCATTGGTAGGCAATTAGAAAACAAAGATCCATTAATCGGTAATCTAATGTGTTACGCTACTCTTGATGTCTTAATTTGATGAGCAGAAAAGTAGTCACGGTCATTGGGTAAGCATCAATAGGCACATTAAGTCAAAAATAACTTTGTTGATCAACTGATTTAATCTTATTCACTTGTTCCTATTGCTGATACTGACTTTAAGTCATTTTCTTTATCACAATTAAATATCACTGGACACCGAGACCAATCTTGTTTCTGTTTGCACTGCCAATAATCACCGTTATAAACATGGACTGGATTATTCGTAATCGGGTCGATTTGAAGCTTGAACCAAGATGGTGCATAAGAAACTTCAGCTTCTGGATTAGTAGCAGCTTCTTCCTCTCTCTTTCTCCGGGTCGATCTTTGTTTTTCTTCCAGTAATCCTTTCACTTGATTAGCCTCATCCCATTTACCTTCTTCCATTAATCGTTGATCTGGTCTGAGTCGACTATCGGTTGGAGCTACTCCTTCTTCTGGTTCATTCAATTGAATAGCTAAAGCAGTTAAATTATACATTCTTTCATATTCAGACCTGAAAATAAAGGAAAAGAGAATTAAATCTTGTTGATATCTTTCAGTGGATGACAACTCACGGAGGATAAATCCTTTGCCAGACCACTTTGGGTGATGTTGTTTCATAGATTGACTTTCCCTTTTGAGATCGTCGTTTATGATGTACTTGGGCTGCTTCGATTCGATTGTCCCATGTCCCTTGTATAACCCAACGTGGTTCACCTTGAGCGTCAATAATACTACCAGTTACCTGTGAAAAAGAAATATCTATCAATAATTTCTATCCAATAGAAAGATTCAATTTGTTACCTTTCTAGGAATATCTCGTGAAAAGTAACTATAAGGTATGAATTTCAAGAGGCATCTATCACCAGTTGTGTGATTAGTAATCACCATATCTCCATGATTATCCACCCAAAGTTTACCAACGATAATGTTGTGAATGGTTGTAGTGACTTTGTGCCAAGTATAATGATAACCATGCTCTGGAAACTCGAGGTGACTTATGTCCACTGGATTCACTTGTAAATACTTTCCTCGAAATTTACTTGATAAACCAAATTCACTCCAGCATTTCCAACCTTTACCTTCACAATGAAGTGCTAACATAGGGGGGTGGTGGCTCACCTGTTGATGATAACAAAACACAATTAGCATTCACAATTATCCATTCATTTGCTTATTCAATTCTTACCTGCTCGGTTATACTCTTCCATCCCAAATCAGATGTTCTATCACATTCATAAGTTTCTCCTAGAAGAGGATTAAATGGTTTGTTCAGTCTGATACCTGTACATGCATAACTGGAGACACAAAATGCAGCGACATAAACTAATTGATCACAACTATCGCTGATTGTTGCTGCTTTATGGAGTAAATGAGCATAGTCAAAGTCTTCGGTTAATCGTTGTAACATTGACAGAGGCTCATTAAAGTTAACAGGCATAGGAATTTTCGTCAACTCTTTACCAATACAGTTCTTCATGAAAGACCATAAATTTAAACTTTGATTCGGTCTTTCAGGTATCTTTGTACGACGTTTAGGATCTAATGTTGGTGGTTTTAAGTCTTCATCAAAGCCAAATTCCTTCACTACGACACTACTTGGTGTGCCTGGAACACTTGTTGATTTAACTGAATCATTATCAGCTAGAGTTTTCTCTATGCTTGTTGAAGCATCCACATTAGATTCTTCATTCGTTATCAAACTTTTCTGTTTATTCTTTCTCACTCTCACCCCAATGGCTGAAGCAGAAGTTGGAGAGTCCTCTGTTTCTTCGTCACTGAGTAAATCATCTCCACCAGACGAATCATCATGATAATTAGAAACTGTTTCACAATTGTTTTCACTATAATCCTGGCTACTCGCTCGCAGAGCTTTACCAGGCACAGGAACCTCGAAATCAGTTACAGCATCTTCGAAAAATTCATCTTCATCTGAGCTAACACCACCAGTGTTGTTCTTATTAGCATACTCTTTTTGGACTCTTTCTTCGAGTTGTGAATACTGTTTGGCCAATTGAGCACAAACAACCTCCAAACTGGTACGAGCTTCCCTTTCATGGTTTAAAAGTTTTTCCATTTTCTTGGTTGCTGTTCTCGCAAGTGTCACAAAGTCGTCACAATGTTTCAACATTGGAATGGTAGTTACACGGAAAACTGTTGATTTCTCATTTATACTTTTGCAGTGTTTAATAGCCTCAGCGGGATTTTCAATAGACTCCAAGGCAACAAGAGACTTGTGTAAGGCGCTTCCATGTTTAATGATGAGCTCGTTGAAATTTGTTAAATCATTGAGTTTAGCAGTCAAAGGTTCTAAAAATTGAAGAGAGCGATCAGTTTTTTTAGAATTGATAATGTGTTTCTGATAATATTCATCTTCTGATTCTTGAAGACGATTAGCCAGCATTTTAGAACATTGTAAAGCTGTCATCCAATTTTGCCTTTGTTGTTCATTCTTAGCCTTTAAGTGGAAAACTTGATCACCATTTTGAACCACAAAACGTATATTATCTTGCTTATAAATGATTGCGGATGCCAACTTGATTGATCCTCGGCAATTCTGAGATACCTCAGCTTCAGAGCTTGATTTTGAGGTAAACCCAAAAAGGAAATGCGTAAAAAGAAAAGATGAATAACAATAACAAGGAAAATGAGAATTGAAAGAAAATGAATTTACCTGTAATATGACAAAAGCCCTTTTGATAAGACAAACCATCTCTTTTGATACCCTCTCATGTAATTGGCCCATTTACACAAAGTTCCTTTCATCTCAGTGTCAGGAGCTTGAGACACAGAGTAGCTCGTAGAAGCCATTGATCGGGGTACACGAAATTAATTACCAATGACAGTTAATCGCCAACAGATCAAAAGAGACCACAATTAAACAACACAAACAGAATCAATTTAATCTTAACCAAAGAGCAGAGAAAATCCTTTAGGGTGTCAACAGCCAATGGCAGAAGAAGCTCAGTTCATGTGGCGCCCAATTCGATATGAATCACAGCCTTTCTGAAGTGTTCGGTTGACCAATATTCCTGAATTGTTCCGTGTAACCAAAGTGACCTTCGCCTCAACTGATTCTTTAGTTGTAGTAAACATTTATTGATGGAAAATGAAAGACAAACAAATTGGAAGATTAATGACCCGCTCTAAGGATAAGCTATTTCCACTACTTTTCTCTTGCAGGTGATCAGTTGATTCCCTATACTCAAGGCAACAAATGGAGTTGAGGCTCATGTGTCCTATTGCAAATTGAATTGACTTAATTGTCTAATCATTTAAATTCTTATTGTTTTTCTCAATCTCTGTTTATTGTGATCGGTTGATTTCCATTAGGATACAAAATACAAAAACTTTAGGTAATTGGATTTATAATTTCTTTTCAACCTTTTCTCTTGTTAATTAAACTTTGTATTGTTTTCTGGTTTACAGATTTTTCTATTGTTTTGATTAACAAGTCCCAATGACAATTGAGGTATGGACCGAACCAACGAATACAAATTGACTCTCAAATGGATGGAGAGTAACAAGATCAATTCAAGGAAAGGCTTCCCCGATAATCCAAAACCTTTTCACTATAATGATTTCATGAAATCAACTCGTGCAATATTTTCGGAACTTGCAATGACTTGTAGTAAATTGGAAAAGCTGAATGAGTTGGCTCGGAAGAAGACGATCTTTGACTCTGATGAGTCGAGTGCTCAACTTAGTGAACTAGTTTATATTATCAAGAAAGATGTAAATTCGCTTAATCAACAGATTGAAGAATTGAGACAAAATCAGCTTGCAAAGGTGAAAGATGGTAAACGTCAGAATGTCGAATCTTATTCGAAAAATGTTGTACTCAACCTCCAAGAACAATTAGCAAGTGTAAGTAGCGATTTCAAGACAACACTAGAACTCAGATCTCAGAATATGCAACAACAAAAGGCGAGAAGAGAGCAATTCACTGGGTCCACTCCATCGACATCTAATCAATTGCAGCAACGAAAGACAACTTCAACTATAATTGACTTTGGAGATGAACCATTAACTCTTAGTAAATCAAATCATTCGCAACAACAACAACAACAATCACAGGCACAGTTGCTCATCTATGAGGACAATACATCACAATATTTGGAGGAACGAGCGTCCACCATGCAAACAATTGAATCAACGATAGTTGAACTCGGAGGAATATTCAATCAATTGGCTACAATGGTCCAGCAACAAGATGAAATGATTAGCAGAATCGATGCTAACATTGCAGATACTAATTTGAACGTTGAAGCTGCTCACCAATCTTTATTGAGATATTTCCAATCAGTCACCAATAATAGATGGTTAATGTTCAAAGTTTTCGGTGTTCTCTTCATCTTTTTCTTATTATTTGTCATGTTGACATGACAAATTCATCTCTGTGATTTTAAAAATTCCATTATGAAATTGTAACCTGTTTATTAACAGTTTATTTTAAAATATTATATCAATGTTAACCACTACAAAAATTAATTTCTTCATTATCCAATTGATACTTTTGAAATCATCAGGATGTCTCAGTATCAGATTTTAATTCAGTAAATTTTCACAATATCTTTAAGCTTGTAAGCAAACAAATGATGAATTGAAATGAAATGAAAGAAACGCTCAAAATTCTACTATTAGAGAAAATAATCAACTTGCAATTCATTCTAATCAAGATGTTGATTGGGTTAATCTGATCGACTTTCGGCTTGACTATTTTTCGGCTCACAATCGATAGAGAAAATAATTTTAGAATCTTATCCATTCTGGTAACTAGGAGATGATTTCATCAACTGGTTGCTGGTTAATAATTGAATAAATCAAATGAATCACCTTGGTCTCAATGATAATAATTAAACTATTATTTTTTAATATTAATTGTATTCATAATGATAAGTATTAAATTAGACTTTTGTATTTGGATTCATTAACTTGAGTCTATTAAAAAGTTAATACAAAATGAATTCAATGAAATTCAATGTCTTAGCAGAAAATAGTGTAAATTGAGGCAGCGAATTCATGAAAACGTATACTAGTTATTTAGTTAATCAGCTCAACAAATTGACATGAGCTCATTGATATTTAGATTCCTATTTTGATTCCATTCTAATATTTATATCGACCTTGCCTTTCATCTTTTCCATCATTCAACATATAAGCTGGAAAATAACCGGTTCCTGAAGGGTCTTTGAGTTTAGGATTTAAAATGGTGTTTTTAGAAGTGCCTAAAGATGTGTACCTAATGATTGGGAGGAAAGAAATGAGAGAGAGAGAGAGAGAGAGAGAGAAAACAATCAATTGATCAACAGTTTGACAGACTTTGATTTCGTTGGGTTGAGACGATGCAAGTTCTTACCCTTTGTCATAAAGTGAACAATAAGGTACTTCAAGTGAACGGAGGAAGCTCCAAATTTGATGATAAGACCAATTGAGTAGAGGATTAACTCTAATGAATTCAGGCCAATCGGAATCGGTGGGTTCAAAAAATGAAATCGAATTGACTAGATCAGTTTTTCTTGTTCCCATGAAGATGTGGCTTACAGAAGATTCCGCTTTGAAGTTTTTCAAAGCTTCCTTGAAATCGGGTCCATCCAATGTTACCAAACCAAGATTATATCTTTCAACAGAGCTTTTAATAAACTCCTCAAGCTCAGGAAATGTATCAGGCATCAAAATCAACAAGGTCATCAATTTGACATCATCAGTCTGATTAAAAGCTGCTCTTTGTTTGACTTTGTCCATCATAAGTAAATAAACCAAATGAAGTAAAACCGTACAGTCTTTACCACCATTGAAACTGACACAAAACCTTTTCTTGTCACAATCAACATTTTCAAGGCATTTGTTAATCACCGAAATGGATTCGAGTACATTCTCATTGCCCTCCAACAAAGCAAATTGATTCAATTGCGATGTCCACAAGTCAACAAGCTGTTGCTTCAACATTTTCCAAAAGAGCAGAGCAAAAGATGAAAGGGAAAGATGAAAGCAAACGATCACCAAAAGACACTTTAAATAACCTTAACGAAAACAGAAGGGAAAAGACAATGAGAACTGATAAGATTAATTGATTGTCTGGTGATCAGCGGTAATCATCTTACCAGAAAAGAAGAAGACAATCTGGTCCACAAGGCGCCATGGGTCGGCTCCTGGGCCTTGAGTTGCCTCTGTACCACCAGATCGTCGAGATGAAAGGGCCAATCAGTTGATCCAATTGATTGTCGAAGGTCAAAGCAAAGCGACAAAAAGAGTTGATTGAAACGATCCTCAGATGGCGACACTTGCCTTCCATCAAAAGAGGTGGTCCATTTGTGGATTGTGGTGATTCCTATAGTTTAGAGACTTGAGACTCGTCGTGTTGATTTTGTCCTTTAGATTTTCTTGTTTAATTGTTTTTTTATTTGTAATCTTATTTTTTCTTGTTCTCTTGATATTTATTATTTCCTTTGATTCTTACAGGAGTTTCATGTCGTCTAGTAGTAACATACATAATTTGAAAACTTTTGGTAAGTAGATTGAGTCATTTGTCTGAACCTTCTCACTGCTCTTTGAAACCCTTTTCTCACTTGTGATACCTTGTCTTTCCTACTTGCAGATCCCTTCGCGGATGCTATCAAAGCTGATGATACTGTTCATGACGGTTTAATTCACATTCGTATTCAGCAAAGGAATGGTCGTAAGACACTTACCACTGTCCAGGGGATAGCTGATAATTATGATAAGAAAAAGATTGTCAAGGCTTGCAAGAAGGTAAGAACATGATGATGATTTTCCAACACTTGACTATCTTCTGTTGCCGCGTCCCATCCATTTATTCATGATAACCTGTTTCTCTCGTCTTGTCTTCCTGTTTCACCTATCAACTCTTCTATAACATTTTCTCTTTCCCAATAGGAATTTGCCTGTAACGGAACGGTAGTTGAACACCCTGAATATGGAGAAGTAATTCAACTTCAAGGTGATCAGCGAAACAATATTTGTCAATTTTTAACTAAATATGGAATCGCTAGACCGGAGCAACTTAAAGTCCATGGTTTTTAAGATGCCATCTTATTTTGGTATGGTTTAAGAGCAATTCGTTCACCTGAATAAATAAAGACGTTTCATTCAATTGTTAAAACGTGTTGAAATATATCCACCCTTGATAAACGCTTAACCATGGCCAAATTCAAAATAAAGTTACAATTATCCGTTGAAACATTTTGCTATTTTTATTACTTTGCACCAGTTGAAGTTATGTATTGTGATGATTAACGATGGTTAAATATTCCATTCTTGAAAGTACATTGAATTAAAAATGATGAGATGTTAAAGGTTTAAATTGAGGCCAAAATCGGAACTTTAATTGATTCAAAAAAGGCACAAATATTTTGTGCGTTGCATTGGATTGATCATGTCAAGAGATGGCACTAGAAGTGGATGGAAACTTGAGTTTTGTCTGGTTGAGTTGATTCATTTGCTTCTTATTGTTAATTGTTGAGTAATTAGTTTTCTATTCGCGGATTAATCATGTCGGAAGGAAAACCCTCAAAGAGCGAACTTCTGGCCACTCTGAGTTTGTCGAAAAATATTCCACCCAAAGTGAGTAGCGACCGGACCATTTTCTTTCAATGTTTTGACATTTCTTTTCTTTTGTTCAGTTTGACCAGCGTTCCAATTTTTCTAGATTTCAAATCTCACATAGTCTCGGAGGAGAAGAGTATTATTCTAGAGGGAATCAAAGGGCCTATTACGAGTTAAGGCCACCACCTCCTCCTCCAATATACGCCAACTTGGGTAAAAAAGCTCCTCCGCCACCTCCACCTCCACCTCCACCGCCTCTACTACCACCACCGTCACAACCACCAACGCCTCCACCACCACCACCAGCAAGTATGAATTGTTGTTAGATTGTTGGTTGTCTAGCCCAACTGATTTGAATTATCTTTTCTTGACTTAGGAAAAACTTCGGAACAACCACCATCTTATCAGATGTCAGTCAATATATTGAGAACCACACCCCACGCTCTGCCCATTCCCGTGACAGCTTCCTACACAACTACGGTCCAACAGCAGAGGACTCAGCACTCTTACAGACATCCACAAGCTCCAAACTATGTGAATGAACCGACGCAACTTTCTCGTCCTCCCCCGATTCCATCTGCACCCAAGCCTCACCTGACCTCTTATAACGTGACACCTCCAAGACCGAAGCGAGCAATCGAAGTTGAGAAAAAGTATGAAGCTTTAATGAAACAAATAGAGGATGAATTAGATAAATCCCTTCACTTTGGCCTTTGTCACACCTGTGGAAATAAGATCCAAGGTGCAGATCAAGCCTGTCAAGCGATGGGAAATTTATATCATACATCCTGTTTTGTTTGTTGTTGTTGTGGTCGAGTCTTGAGAGGAAAAGCTTTTTACAATGTTAACGGAAAAGTTTATTGTGAAGAAGATTATCTTTACTCAGGGTTCCAACAAACCGCTGAGAAATGTGCTGTCTGTGGTCATCTGATAATCGAAATGATACTCCAAGCTATGGGAAGATCATACCATCCAGGTTGTTTTCGCTGTTGTACTTGCAACGAGTGTCTCGATGGAGTTCCTTTCACAATTGATATGAACAATAAAATTTATTGCGTTGCCGATTATCATCGAGCTTATGCCCCGAAATGTGCCTCTTGTGGTGGTGCTATTACTCCTCTCGAAGGATCTGATGAAACAGTTCGAGTTGTCTCAATGGACAAAGATTATCATGTTGATTGTTATACTTGTGAAGATTGTGGTATGCAACTGACCGATGAACCTTCCCAAAGATGTTATCCATTGAGTGGTCATCTACTTTGTAGAGATTGTCATCTCAAAAGACTTGGTACTTTTTGAGTATCCAATCAATTCCCACCGTCCATAAAGTGAACTTGTTTCCTTCACGACAAGAATCACCACGATCTCATCATTTCTCACCAACCAAACGCACAAACGAATCAATCATCAATTGGAAAGATGGAGTTTAGGAAATGAAGGAAAATTAAAAAAAGATAATTTTTGTAGTGGTTAACATTGATATAATATTTTAAAATAAACTGTTAATAAACAGGTTACAATTTCATAATGGAATTTTTAAAATCACAGAGATGAATTTGTCATGTCAACATGACAAATAATAAGAAAAAGATGAAGAGAACACCGAAAACTTTGAACATTAACCATCTATTATTGGTGACTGATTGGAAATATCTCAATAAAGATTGGTGAGCAGCTTCAACGTTCAAATTAGTATCTGCAATGTTAGCATCGATTCTGCTAATCATTTCATCTTGTTGCTGGACCATTGTAGCCAATTGATTGAATATTCCTCCGAGTTCAACTATCGTTGATTCAATTGTTTGCATGGTGGACGCTCGTTCCTCCAAATATTGTGATGTATTGTCCTCATAGATGAGCAACTGTGCCTGTGATTGTTGTTGTTGTTGTTGCGAATGATTTGATTTACTAAGTGTTAATGGTTCATCTCCAAAGTCAATTATCGTTGAAGTTGTCTTTCGTTGCTGCAATTGATTAGATGTCGATGGAGTGGACCCAGTGAATTGCTCTCTTCTCGCCTTTTGTTGTTGCATATTCTGAGATCTGAGTTCTAGTGTTGTCTTGAAATCGCTACTTACACTTGCTAATTGTTCTTGGAGGTTGAGTACAACATTTTTCGAATAAGATTCGACATTCTGACGTTTACCATCTTTCACCTTTGCAAGCTGATTTTGTCTCAATTCTTCAATCTGTTGATTAAGCGAATTTACATCTTTCTTGATAATATAAACTAGTTCACTAAGTTGAGCACTCGACTCATCAGAGTCAAAGATCGTCTTCTTCCGAGCCAACTCATTCAGCTTTTCCAATTTACTACAAGTCATTGCAAGTTCCGAAAATATTGCACGAGTTGATTTCATGAAATCATTATAGTGAAAAGGTTTTGGATTATCGGGGAAGCCTTTCCTTGAATTGATCTTGTTACTCTCCATCCATTTGAGAGTCAATTTGTATTCGTTGGTTCGGTCCATACCTCAATTGTCATTGGGACTTGTTAATCAAAACAATAGAAAAATCTGTAAACCAGAAAACAATACAAAGTTTAATTAACAAGAGAATATCAATTTCAAGTAGTAATTGTTCAAATTATTTGGAACTTTTTAATGTCCATTATCAAAGTGATGCTACAATAAACTAAATTAGATGACAAGGTTACAAATTATTTCGAGCTGATCATTCAATGTTATGTACAACATGATTGGTATTTCTGTTTAGTCGCTCACGCAGCCAATGAAATAAAGTAAAGGTTGGGTTATATCGACTATTAGTATTTTTATCAATTTCGAGAGAGTATTGAAAGTGGGTCAAATATCGATAAAGTTTTGCAACTGTAAACTTTTCGAGAGAAGCAGCTATTAGATGGAAAGAGAGCAGGCGATGGTTCGCTTCCGTGAAGTAAAACAGTTCGCGATTACATGCCGAGGCTGCGATCCATTGAATTAATGACTTCAGTTGATGATCAGAACAGAAAGTATTAGAACCCCAGTTTCCAGTAGCGATGGGACCATTTGCATTCGAATATTCATTCAACATGAATCCACAATATGCTTTGGTCAATTCTCTTTCGATTAAATTAGTAGAATATTGACTCAATCCTGCGCCAGGATCGAATTTGATTGGATCTATTGCTACTATCTCGTTAAGACGACGACCCCAAGAGTCGAATTTCGTGACATCACTATGGCTTCCACGATAAAGGAAAGAGTCGCCTTCGCCAAAGCTGCGATTGAATCGTTCGGCACCAGTTATTGTGACCGCTTCATTGTCCAGCATGGACTCAGTGAAAAGCACCGACACAATAAGTTCAGGGTGAGTACAGAAAAGAACTTCTTCTTGACCGCACCCATTCTTCAAAGTTTTATATCCCAAAAATTTGTTGGCAAAATCGACTCGAAGTTTTCCTTTTCCGTTCCTTTGTAAACTTCCGTGATTGTCGATGATCAGTTTTGACAGGGTCGACGAGCAATTCGACCAAACAGGAATTTTCTCTGGGGCTAAGTATCGTCGTTGAAAAGAAACTACTCCTTTGAGCGATGACTTGGATGACCTATTGGAGGCTCGAAAAAAGTAATTGAGTATAGACCTTAGCTTATGCTCTTTCTTTCTGAATATACAACACGGTCTAGAAAATAGACTAAAAGAAAATGTCGATTGATTAGCGATGAAAACGAACTCAATTTAATCCAACTTACTGCTGAAGAGTGAAATGAGTCAATTCAGAATTTCTTGGATAGGGGAAAGTGCCAAGAAAAGCATTCGCAAGGAGAGACAATATTTGCTCTTGATCGAAGAAGAGACAATGATTCATTTTCTGTTTCAAGATTGGAATCCTTTGACGAATAACCCTCTTCAATGCCACAGCCGATTTCACGATGAACGGAAAAGTATGACGGTAAAATTCTACCGATTTTTTAGAATTTTTATATTTTTTTTCCGCGTCCAGACTTAGTATCACTCTTTCCAGCATATCAAAATCGTCTTTTATGCAGTTCGGATTGATTCGACACAATATCGAAGCCAATTCTGAAAATGATTTTATTTTCGTCTTTTCCAGCTCCTTGTCCACCAATTGAACGGTATTCCATCGATGTGGCAATTCAAAAGGCATCCTTACATGTTCACTAAATTCAGACGATTGATTGTCACAAGTTGAACCATGAAATATGGTCACACCGGGTCCAGGTCTCAATTCACCTAACGGTGCACAAACCTGAGCTTTCATGGTAGTTTGGAACTGGGGTTGAGTGAAAAGGAGAGCACTTTGTAGAGATAATTTGAAATGGTCAATTTCTATTCAATTGCAAAATTGAACACTGACTTCAGACGATATTGAAGTTAATCGAACAAAAGATGAAAAAGTTTAATTAACATAATTAGTATCGCCATCTATTTGAGTGGATTAACTCGCGGATAATCTGATTGATTTCCATTATCAAATTTAATTCAAACGTTAAATTACTGATTCTAAGGAATTTAAAGTTGTGCTGTAAAATATTGAGTCCGAACTTTAGTTGAGTAATTTTTCTCACTTGATTTTCAAATCGTTCAGAAAAATTTCCTCAGTTTATCTATTGCCTGAAGTGACTAAATATTATTAGATGATTGAGAATAGACTATGAAAATAGCAAGTGAACGTTTCGATGAACAAAACCGAAGTACCAGCACTGAATCACGATTGGAATCACCATTAATAAAAGAGACCCACAGTAATTAGAAGAAAAATGAGAACAAAGACAACGAAAGTTTTAAAATTTAATTGAAATTAAAATTGGATAATTATTTCAACCAAAGTTTATTGTTTTTGGAAAGAGGACATAACGTCAGTTGCGAGTGAGGAAAGGCGACCTGCGACACGACTGACTCCATCTCGAACTCCTTCCTTAACATCATATAAATTAGCAGTCACATTGGAAAGTCCACTTGCATAGCTTGAAGATGTTCGATTGCTCGCTCGACCAAAGTAATCGTCACTGCTGATGGCATTGGACCCTTCAAATTTCGATAGAGTTGTACGTTGTTCGAACTATGAAATTGTAGAAATAAAAACAAAAGTTAGAAATTTAAAACTCATCAAATGATTCGAATTTTTCTGCTATCAATGATCTATTACTTCACTAGAACGACCATCATTGAAATACTGGTCAGATGATATTGCTTTCGCTTGTCCGAATTTCTTCTGGGCTTGGACATCGGAAGTAGTCGATGTTGACGATTTGTAATAACCATGAGACGAACTTCTGATCGGCTTTCTAAATACAAGTAATGAGAGACAATTTAAATTATATTGATTGAAATTCAAAATAAACAACAAGTACTTTTCTTCATCGATGGATGGAATTTCATCAAGAATTTCAGGAACATCATTATCCTTTTTGAACCCAGAAGCAGTATCAAAGTCTTCGAAAAATTTACTTGATTTTTGTTTAATTGGTACGATAAAATTATCTCCTAAAGATTCAAGCTCGATGCGAGAGCCCACATCTCGATGGCTTCCAATAATTAAATCCTCGAAACCTTGAGAGAGAGAGAGAGAGAGAGAGAGAGAGAGAGAGAGAGAGAGAGAGAGAGAGAGAGAGAGAGAGATCATATGAGAAATGAGCAATTATAACGTTGCTTCAATTAATGTGAGAAAAAATTAATGTTTACCTGTTTCAAGTGCTTTATCCATGAAATAATTTCGAGAGCTTATTGTTGTTTCTGATTTTGTTGGATTGGTTTGTTCGAGGGTCATCATATCAGAACTTGCCGAATGAGAAACGCCAGTTTTAGCAGCAGTAAATCCCATTCCAAGCCTCTCAAATTGTTGAGCTTTAATTGGGTCAACAGTTCGCAGCTTTTCTTCGGTTATTCGAGCTCGTTCACTTAGATCCTTGTATGTTGTGTCAATTTCTTCTATGGTTTTGATTACCTCTTCTTTCGATAAAGATTTTGTTTCGTTTCTGGTCATGGACGCTTTCAATTCTTCAGCCTTAACAGCTTCTTTTTCAATCTCACTAAAATCGGTGTTGATCCGTTGAGCCCCAATCCTTTCTTTGATCCTAACTTAAAATATTATTAAACGTAGTTAAAGGTCGTATTAATTGTGTGTCGAATTGTGTTTTTCAAGAGCAGGAAAGAATCTGAATAAATAAACTTACTCCTCCTCCTCTTTTAGTTGTTTGTTTACGTGTACCAATGACAGGCTTATAATCTGATTTACCTTCTTTTCTTTCAGTAAAATTAACACTAAGCTTGCTAGAATTTATTGATTCAGTAGGCGCTGTTACCATGGTACAATCAGTTATTTTCTCGAATTTATCAACGGCCACTGATGAACGATTTTCTTGTTCCTGTTCAGACCAAAAATCAAGCTTAGCACTAGTCTCTTGTGTGTCTGAACTAAAGACTGTTCCTGAAGGAAGACTTTTGAACGATTCGGTTCCATATAGTTTCATGGCCTGAGCAGCTAATTTATCTTTATACAACTGAGCAGCTCTACTGTGGTACTTTTGCTGAGCATCTTTAGCGGTACAACCGTGTTGTTGGAAAAAGGCCAAAGCGTTATCATTACCACCAGCTTGCATTGAACCAACTTGAAGCCAAGTCCAATTTGTATCGAGCTGCGTTGATCGTACAAATGACACATGGACTCCAAGTGACCGGTGTCTAGCCGAACAATCAATACAAATAAAAATGCCAAAACTGACACTAGCCCAGGACGGATTTTTAGCTCCACAATCAAAACATTGCTATAAAAAGTAAATGAAACCAAATAAGTGATACATCATCACACAAGAAAAGAGTAAACAATTGTACAGACCTTGTTTGCAGGGATATTCTTCAATTTATTGAAAATAGTTAATAACTCGTTCTTTGTTGGTTTGTTGTCAGACATTCTAGTACACTTAATAGATCAACTTGTATGAGAAAGGCTTTCGGAATTCAATCAATTTAACTGAGAATTACAATCAAATTAAAAGAAACAAAATTTCAACATGAAAAGAATCGTTAACAAAACGAACCACCAGATGGCGTCGGTACATCGACGTTTCTATGGAAATTTTTTCTGAATTTAATCAATAACAATCTAATCAAATCAATAACAATTATTTCACTCAACTAAATTGTTCTAGTTTCTTTTATGTAGCTTTGTGTTTTTCAACTCACAATTGTGTCTTCATTTCTTAGCTTTATTTACACAACTATGAATACAAAAAAGGTAAGATAATTTCCCTACTATTTTTTTTTCATTTTCTCAAGAGTTTGATTATGTTTCACTTTGTTTCATTATTCTCACAAGAAATTGATTCTTCACTCGGATTTTGAGGTCATTAAAACAACAGAGGATGGAAAATGTGACAAACTTAAAAGCGAAAATCATCAAATGAATGTTAAAGGCTCTCTCGGAGTCTCTCATTCATCAAGTCAAGATGAAAGAGCTGAAAGTTTACAATCGATCACATATAAGATCGATATGATAGCTGATCAATTGAAAACATCCGATGATAACGAAAGAAAAAACATTGATATGTCAATCAATGGAGATAATTCTATATATAATAGTGATTCAGCTAATTCAACAAGCACTTTGCTAGCCTCAAGAGATGAGAAAGAGAAATTAAATTTCAACGAAAAAGATTTAGCACCACCTCTTTTGGATTCGCAACGGAGGAAAAAGATACCAGAGCGGCCAAGCCAAAGTTTAAATCTGTGGTCATTTTTAAAGAAATGTATTGGTAAAGAGTTGACGAAAATTCCTATGCCTGTTAACTTTAATGAGCCTCTGTCAATGTTACAACGATTAACCGAAGACTTTGACTATGCTCATTTACTCCATAAAGCAGCAACAATCAGCGATAGTTGTGATCAATTAGTTTATGTCGCTGCATTTTGTGTCTCCAGTTATGCATGTACAGGTATCAGACTGAACAAACCATTTAATCCTCTTCTAGGAGAAACTTATGAATGTGATAGAACATCTGATTTGGGATGGAAGAGTATAACCGAGCAGGTAAGAATCGAATAAGCAAATGAATGGATGATTGTGAATACTAATTGTGTTTTGTTATCATCAACAGGTGAGCCACCACCCCCCTATGTTAGCACTTCATTGTGAAGGTAAAGGTTGGAAATGTTGGAGTGAATTTGGTTTATCAAGTAAATTTCGAGGAAAATATTTACAAGTGAATCCAGTGGACATAAGTCACCTCGAGTTTCCAGAGCATGGTTATCATTATACTTGGCACAAAGTCACTACAACCATTCACAACATTATCGTTGGTAAACTTTGGGTGGATAATCATGGAGATATGGTGATTACTAATCACACAACTGGTGATAGATGCCTCTTGAAATTCATACCTTATAGTTACTTTTCACGAGATATTCCTAGAAAGGTAACGATCGAGATCAAGAAACTCTTCATCTTTTTCAGATTCTTTGTAATCAATTTCAACTCGTCTACAGGTGACTGGTAAGATTGTAGATTCGAAAGGAGTAACAAAATGGATTATTCAAGGAATTTGGGACGAATATATTGAGTCCGCACTAGTTTTCGATAAACGAACATCAGCCAAAGGAAAATCAATCTACGATACATCTCCATTCGTTCGTGTCTGGCAGAAAACTCGCAATATGTTCGTAATGAATCAACCATTGTATCCGGATAACTATTAATGTCGAAATGATGTTTACTTTTCAGGTCTGAATGCGAAAAAATGTATAATTTAACTGCTTTAGCTGTTCAATTGAATGAACCAGAAGAAGGAGTAGCTCCAACCGATAGTCGACTCAGACCAGATCAACGATTAATGGAAGAAGGTAAATGGGATGAGGCTAATCAAGTGAAAGGATTACTGGAAGAAAAACAAAGATCGACCCGGAGAAAGAGAGAGGAAGAAGCTGCTACTAATCCAGAAGCTGAAGTTTCTTATGCACCATCTTGGTTCAAGCTTCAAATCGACCCGATTACGAATAATCCAGTCCATGTTTATAACGGTGATTATTGGCAGTGCAAACAGAAACAAGATTGGTCTCGGTGTCCAGTGATATTTAATTGTGATAAAGAAAATGACTTAAAGTCAGTATCAGCAATAGGAAAAGTTTAATGGGATATTTTACTTCGTGTGCCCATCGATGATTCACCTATTCAACTAAGAGACTTAATCAATTATTATCATGATTGATAATTTCCATTATTTTCGGATGAGCTCAGGAAATAGACTCCAGAGATTTAAACTCCAGAAGAAGCTCTAAAGTTCTATATTTTATTATCAATATTTACTTTTATATCTCTTTTAATAACTTTGACAAAAGATGCTTAAAAGTAATTGAATGGTACCATTTAAATAGTACTTTATTCATGTCATTGCTGCAATTGAAATTAGATTTAACTTTACTTCAAGTCAAAAAAAACAAATGAATCACTTGTAGATCTGAATGCCAAATTACTCAATTGTACACATTCGCTCATTTCCAAGCTGAAGACTGAGATTAAAGTAAATTATTTTGCCAAAATACAGCGCAATCATCCCAACGAGCTGATCATCAAATCAACAATAGTTTGAAACTGTCGATGTTTCTTTCATTGCCAGTCTCTATGAGGATCGATTAGGTAGACGAGATTGCAACTGGAAAATCTGACAAAAAGATGGAGAATGTAATGAGAACAAGTTTCAAGATTTTAATATGGCACAGTGGGATAATAGTTCAGAATAGAATGAAATGTAATCATTACATCATAGAGATTCCCACTTTTTTTCATCATCTTATTCAATAATAGTGACGTGAAGAACATTATCACTTACTTTTCCATTCTTACACCTTGATAACTTGAAGAAACATAATAAATCAAGGAGCCAACCCTTTAAGCGGTAGAGGTTTTTTAATGGTCCATCCTGTTGGGTAAAATCGAAAGAGATGAGTGTAAATTTGAATTCAATAAAACCATTAGATTGGAAAGAAGAAAAAGAATCAGAAAAGAGGGTCTCAATCAATAAGAATTCATGAGTAGCAAATACTCTTTCAAGTCGCATCATTTGAGTCAAACAAACAAAAGTATTGAAAATAAATCACTTACCTTAAGGTAGAATCGTTCAAATGAACTGAAAGAGTTCTCATCACCTCGTGATCATATCTACACATTTGGAGAATTGGAATAAATGAAAAAGATTAGACCAAGTAAAGTCAACATAAAATCTGAATAAATGGAACATTAGTCAGATAAGTTAGAGTTTCAATCACTTAGAGTCATGAGTAGCAAATACTCAATAAAGTCACATCACGATTGTCTATTGTTTCATTAAAGTAAAATAGAAATTTACTTACCCAATTAACTAGGAATTCATGAATTACCATTGACGAGCATTGGCTGAATTGAGGAACCATGAGGAGAGAAATGAACAAACTTTAAGTCGGATATCCGAGATTCTTCAGTGGAAGTGTCGCCATCTAGTGGAAAGAAAACAATAAATTGGATGAACCAGATGATCTCAAGTCTCAAATTAAGTCTCAATTGTTTCCTTAGTTGTTTGATTAGTATTATCAACATTTCTGTTTCTCAACCATCATGAGTTTCATGCAAAAATTGAAGTTGAAAAACATTCCCACGTGTAACAAACAGTTCATTTTCTTAGGCGTTAAAGAAGACAAAGTAAGACTCATTTAGTAAAATTCAATATTTTCCTTAAACTAATGTTCCAATTTTCTCTTGATTTGATTGTTAGCGAATCGATGGGCGAAGCTCAAAAGATTTTCGTAAATTATCTATTGAATTCGGATTAGACTATGGATCATCTGTTGTCAACCTTGGCGATACACGTGTTATGTGTAACATTGGCTATCAAATTGCAGAGCCAAAGGCAACTAAAAGTTGTGAAGGATTTTTGAACATTAAGGTTGATTTAGCTGCTACGATGGCTCATTCTCATGAGAAATCTGTGGAAATCATGAAAATAGTTGAAAAGAATATAAAAGAATCTAGATGTCTAGATCTGGAATCCTTGTGTCTGATCTCTGGGGAAAAAGTCTATTTGTTAGAAGCAGATTTAATTGTCATGAACGATGAAGGAAATCTCCCTGAATGCTGTTCCATTGCTATTCTGGCCTCTTTGTCGCACTTCAAAAGACCCGATGTTTCAGTCATTGATGATAAAATCAAAGTTCATTCGTTTACTGACCGTCATCCGATTCCAATCAACATTCTCCATTATCCTTTTTGCACAAGCTTCACGTTTTTCGAGTACTTTAAATTTGTTTGTGATCCAACACAAGCGGAAGAACAAGTTTCCGATGGACATTTGATTGTTGGAGCAAATAATTACAGAGAAATAACAACAATTCACATTTCAGGCAAATCGTCGATCAACAAAGATATTGTCATTAAGTGTTGCCAATTAGCAATTGAAAGGAGTAAATATTTAACCAATTTCGTGAAAGATGCTGTCGAAAGAGATTTAGCTCAAAGAAATAGTGGAATCGGTTTGAGAAATTTGATTAACTCCTGAAAACTGAATTGATTTGAAAATAAACAAAAAATTATAATGTCAAGAGTTTAATTATAAAAAGATTTGAATACAATGAGCATGTGAATCCATTTTGTAATGTGATCAACTATTTATCTTAATGGGAACATTTAAAGAATGAAATTCGAGTATCGGTTGATTGTGTAATTTAAATTCATTTATTTCAATTGGTATCAACAGATTAACTATCGAAAAGGTTTGATTGGCAGAAGAAAATGAACTCGCTTGATTTGATTAGAATTTCGATCAAAGGAAAAATGAGACAATTGAAGGCTTGATTTTCGTTCTCAATGATCGTTCATCGATCCAAATTGATTAGTAAAGAAAAAAGAGAAAGTAATATTACAATTGGATTGATAATAATGACAGTTGATTGGGTGAACAAAATTAACCCTCGAAAATGACCACAAAATGTAAGTTAATTGGTAATTGCAGCGACTAATTGTTATTATATTGATGCATATTAGTTTCTATTGGTATTGTTTGTATAATAGTATTTGTGTCCACCGGTCATATGTACATTCAGGTACTCCAAGTATTATGGCTCGAGTTTGGATCGTCTCAGACACTCAGTTGGAATAGCATAAGCAATGTCTTTGATATTGGCGACGTCCGCTCTCAGTTGTTCAAGTTCTTCGCGATAATTGGTCAACATGCCTGACAGGTCATCTCGCGACTTTCTCAACTCTTCTGTTCGATTGTTCAAATCAGCAGTCAGCAATTCCTTCTCGGCTTCCCGCAGTTTCACCTCCAATTCTTTCATGTTTCCACCGTCGACAGAGTCCAAACCTCCAGAGTTTTTATTATTGAATCAACAGTTTGCAGTGCACCAGACACTTTGCTTTTCGCCTCGATGGCACTAGTCTTGGCTTGGTTAGCTCTTTCTAAAGCTTCTAAAGCCAATTTCTCGTCGTTGACAGTCTGTTCACCATATGAGTTGAGTCGACCTTCGGTATCGGCTAGAGCCCTGTTCAATGATTCCACCTCGTCTTTCATTCTTCCCGCTCTCTCCTTTGTTTTACCTGCTTCCCCACGAATCGCATTTGCATCAGCGGAAGCATTACCAGCGATGTAACGAGCCTCGGTTGCAATACTCTGAGCGTTTATCGCGTCATTGTAAGCCCCAGTGAGAGCATCAAAAGCCTCCTGTGTCTTGGCTTTGCCTTCGTTCAAAAGCTTTTCCACCTGTGGTACTCGCTTCAGTGCTTCATCTGCTCGTCCTTGACTTTCTTTCACTGACTTATCGAACCCTCGAAGTGTCATCAAAGTTCCAGTGGCTTCCGTCAAAGTGGAATTGGCTGCCTGAGCTGCTTTCTCTGCAGTTTTATGAGCTTTGTCCACTTCGCTCAACAACTCGGAAGCTTTGTTCTGTTGCCTGGTTGCCTCTTTCAGAAGAGATCGAACATCCTCCATTTGGATCTGTGTTCCATTCAGTACATTCTCGTATCGTGACATCATCGCATCCGCTTCTCTCATGATACGAGCCGCCTGATCGACCAACTCTCTGGCATCTTGTTTCATGCCCGAGGCGTTCACATTTGGAATACTCAATGAGCCCGCTTCGGTCAACAATTGTAGCGCATCTTTGGCAGCTCGATCAGCTTCTTTCTTTGCTTCTTCTGCCATTTTCCTTGTTCGTTCCAATAAATCGTTGATATCGATCAATTGTTTCTGAATGGCCCGAATCTTCACGATTACTCGAATGCATCACCATGGCTTCTTTCACCAATCGAGACGCTTCTTCTGAGTTGTTCAAAGCTTCTTTCGCCAACTTTTCCACCTTTTCAGCTTCTTTTTCAATCTTATCTGCTAGAGCAACCGATTCCAATGATATTCTGGACATTCGTTCAGACTGCTGTCCGTACCTTTTGAACCTTTCGCGAGCATGTTCCAAGGCAGTTCTTCCTTCATGATCGAATGTCTTTTTAGCTTCAGATAATATTAAATTGGCTTTTTCAATTATATCTTCTGCTAAACTCATGTTTTGCTTTCCAAAATTGACCAAGTTGTTCAACCCTTCCATCCGACCGTCAACCAACGAGGTCAATTCTTTGACTCGGGCTAAACGGTTCTTTAAAGTGGTCAAAGAATTGACAAGGTTTCGACCATCTGAGCCCATTCGACGAGCATCCGATACCAGTGCCTCAGTGCGAGCGATCAATTCTTCCAATTGTGTTTCGAACTTTGATCTTCCACTTCCACAGGGCTGTTTTGTATCTCCTCCAGTAATAATCGCAACTGGTTCAGTTTACCTCGGTGCCCATTCACAGAGTCCTGGATTAGTCCGTAGCAAGCTGGACAGTCTATACAACCAGCAGTTCGGTTGAACTTGTTTTCACGACACCGCTCACATCGACGGCCTTCCACGTTTGCCAAACACTCACATTGACCATTATCGCGACACTGCAGAGATTTTGATCCAATTCGATCACAGTCACACTTTGCACATCCCTTCTCAGAGAAACCATAATGATAAGGTGCACATTGGTCACACTTAGTTCCAATGACCCCAGGTCGACAGTAGCATTTGCCGGTGAACTGATCGCAGGTCAGATTATGTGATCCAAACATATTACAACCACAGGATTGGCAACCATTCTCACCACTGATATCCCAATAGCCTTGTATGCACTGGTCACACTTTCGTCCCATCACATAGTTTTTACACTCGCAGTGTCCACTGCGAGAGTCACAAAGAGCCAATTCTTTTCCATCTTCTCCCTTGCCCATCACTGTTCCAGTTCTATGGCAACCACAAGATTTACAATCTCCCTTAGGGTAACTCAGAGCATCACCAAAGAAACCGGGAAGACATTTCTCACATCGATCCTAATGGGAAGTGAAAAGAAAACAAATTCATCAATAAAGTGATTCCATTCGAAACTCATTCACTTCGACTCTTACCCCGGCAGTGTTGTAAATGCATTTCAAACACTTTCCCGTTTCATGGTCACAACTTCCGACAGAGTTTTCATCAATGTTCCCACTGCAATCGCATTTCCTGCAAGAACTGTTTGCTATCGGGTTACCAAAATAACCATCGATACAAGACTCACAGAGGGCTCCTGATTACAAAGATCGAGAAACAAACAATTAGTTTAAACCCAGTGAATAGCGACCGAGATTATCATTAGCACATGCAACCTAACGTCGAGTTAGTCACCCTTGAGAAAGAGTTTCTCATGTTAGCAAATCTTTCACTCTCTTCTTAGTTGCTGATGATTTTAATCATCCATGCAAATACTTATCCATGAATCAATTAACTGTCTCAATTCAGCTCATCACTGATCATTACCTCCGTAACCTTGAGGACACTCCAAACAAGCTATACTTTCATCAGGTAAGACAACACAAGCTCCCGCATTACGGTGACAGGGACAAGAAGTACATCCAGTCCCGTCTAATGGATTACCGTAATAGCCTCGAGCACAAGTCTCACAATTATCACCACCGGTGTTGTTTGTACACATACATTTTCCTTTACAAATTAACCATCACCATGAATTAATTAGAAACCACCACCAATATCAAGTTAAGTTTGGTTAGAGATTGCAAATGGGAAGTGGGAGTGGGAGTGGGAGTGGGCGTGGATGGGGAATAGGAATAGGAGGAAGAAAAGAAAGTAAGAAAATTGATTGTTAAAGTTACCGTCACCAAAGACCAGAATCAGTATCAAACCGGTGATTTTCCTTCACCTTGTTCACTCTCTTTACCTGTATATGGATCACAAAAGTCAGCGTAGCCATTACATTGACAAGGTAGACAAACCGCGAAACTTCCCCCGCCCGGTGGTTCGTGTCGATATCCCGTCTTACATGACTCACAAAACTGTCCATCATAACCTGCTGGACACTCACATCGCTCGACCCAACTTGCTGCTCGACCATATGCACCCCGTTGGGCAGATTCCAGGGCTATTTCATCAACATAACCTGACCCATCTCTATTGTACACAATGCGAATCTTGATGGACGTTAAATTGGCCAAAACACTTATGAAATCTTTCCCAGACAGCCTCGGACTCCAGCCGAATCGAGCGTCTTCGTGAAGTCTAAACGAGTAAGAACGTTGGTTTCGACTTGGAAGACTATTGTCTTGACCGTGTATTGGTTGAGCAAGGGTCAATCCAGCGCCTTCAATAATGACATCGGCAAATTGTGAGGCTGGAGAATCGTCGTTCACTCTTAAATTGAATCTCAAGTGTTGATTGTAAGAGAAACGCTGATCCCCAAGGAAAGATGGAGGAGCAACCAAATAAACCGCGTCCAATCCATAACTTGCTTGAGAGCCGATACTATGATCTGATGTATTGTGTACGAGTGCAACAGAACGACCCATTCTATCAATCGCCGTCCATTTCTCGGTATCTTTGTAGAAATAAGATTCAATTGCATGGGCAGTGTAATCTTCCGCCGATTCGCAAACAGATGAGTGGCCGTAACAAAAGCAAGATAAACATCCAAATTCGTTGGTTCCTTGCAAATCGAAGTAACCAGGCTTACACTTTTCACAAGTTCTTCCTTCCACATTCTGTTTACATAAACATTCCCCAGAGACAGGGTGACATCGAGCGGTGTTGTTGAAACTTCCTTGTACAAAGCAGTCGCAGGGTCTGACGGGCAAATAAAAGGTTAGTTAAATATCTTGGGAAAATGATCCACTAGAAATACTCACTTGCAACCCTGGGCCGAAAAGTCGTAATAGTTATCAGCACAACGATCGCATTTTTCCCCAGAAACTCCTGGTCTACAGATACATTGACCATCTCGACTGCACTGCGATGTCACGGACCCTTAACGAATGAAAATGCCAATAAAACAATCGAATCCATATAAATACTATTTCATTGACTTACCTGTTGGATCGCAGTCACAGGTAACACATCGTCCCAGATTATTTTCGTAAAAACCTTCCTTGCATCTTTCACAGTTTGGTCCATCGGTGTTGTCGGCACAGTCAACATCGACCTCCGTGTCCAGTTTCAGCCCACAAATCAGCATCGTAAACGCATTTCGAGGCTTTATT